CCGCTGCGCGCTGTGACGCATTGTTGCGCGATCAATAGAAACAAGGCGTAGAACCGGGCACAGAAAACAAAATGGAGGAAAAACTTGCATATAATATGTGTCTGAGTTCCCAGAGCAATATCACACAAGCGTAGAATACTTTTGAATGCGAAATATACATCGTCGCTACTGATCGCGAGCCAAAATGACAGGAGAGTGTTTTGAAAACCACGCCTACTCTTTGCCTCACGGCGAGCACAGCGCATGCCGCGTTCGGTATGTAATCAGCTTTAGCCTGTAAAGGACAATATAAGCCTTATTAAGGTAGGGTTGGAATGAAAACATTCTGGCAGGTGGGGCACCAGGAACAGGATTGAGAACCACTGCATTACACCAAGACTAGTTTTACCAGAGGTAGCAGAATTACCACGCCCCTAATGATGGTAACTATAGCAGAATCATAACTACTATCTTCTGCATAGCATGGCTAGTGTGGTGAGATTTGGGGTGAGATTTAGGGTTGTATAATTTATGTTTCAAATAATAGTCAGTTGTACTACTTGTCCAATACAACTTATGTGAAACTGATAAGAAAAGGCAAGTGGGACAAACCAATCTTATCTTCAAAGCTCTTTGACAGACATTCAGATCCTTTGAAATATTTGTGCTTTCAATATGCAGGCATCACTTCATGATCCGTCACTGCTCATATTTGCTGGAGGTCTAATGTTTATGGTATGCATATCCTCATTGTAGAGTTAATCACACATTGTACAATAATGACCATACAAACATGTCTTAGTGATAAAGATCATGGTGATTGAAAGGTATAGTGGAATGCAGGGACATGCAGAGAGCAGGGCTAATTTGCACTTTCGAACTATCAAAGATCTTGCCTGTGCAGGACAAAAAAAAAAACAACGACAACAATATACTACTGCTTCTAATGGGCCTATTATTATTATTATTGTTGTTGTTGTTGTTGTTGTTGTTGTTGTTGTTGTTTTTAACATTAGACAGACGATGAGCCAAGTACAAAAGAGCCAGGACCAGAACAGTACAGACCTGGAAAATAGGGAAAGGACAAACAACACAGAAAGTCAGGATAGGATGTCAACAGGGGAGGATACTGAGATGAAGAGTGAGGCAGAATCCATGAATACAGAAGGGGATTTTGTGCTGAGATTGAGTTATCCAGCTGATCCAGCCCATGTACAGAGCAATAATCTTAAATACAATCAGGCGTTTATCAAATTTTCACATTCAGTTGGGCCTATTGTGAAGTTCCCAAAAAATGCAGAAGGGCGCTCTTTTCAATCCCACTGGTATGATGATGACCCCTGGCTGGAATGTTCACCACAGAATGATGCCATGT